GTAGCCCATGGCAACCCACTGCCACAGGGGCTGCAGCCTACGCCATCGACTGTGACTCACCTCAGCCCAGCTCCAGGTTGAGCTGTTGTTCAGCATCTTAGCTGTAGAGGACATTGTCACTGGCCCTCATATGTGGGATCCAAACCGGGGTCCTCTGGCATCCCAAGCCAGTTCTTAACCAACGTGCCACTCAGCCGGCCCAAATTTATGTGCTTTTTAAAAAATCTGTTTCAAGCTTAATTTTCTACAATTTTGCAGTCAGGTTTATATATAAATATATATCTTTAATCTGTTTAGAACTTTGTTATGTAACCTCGTTGAGATCAAATTGGGATGCTATGAGTTAGAGCCAAATAAAAGCCAGTCTGCTGAGGATTATCTTAAATCCTTTATGGAGACAGAGGTGAAACCATTGTGGCCTAAGGGCTGGATGCAGGCAAGGTAAGAAATATGACATCCTAGATTTTATTTTACTTTGTTATTGCTATATTAAAGATACACACAGACACACACACACACACACACACACACACACACACACGACATTTATTTTGCTAAGAACCTAACGTGTTTAACATTCTATGCAGTCACTTCAAATGATTGCTGCTTCAGAAACTTCAGGCATTTAAAAGACTAAACAATTAGTCACATGGACATAGAAATATAGAAATATACATAAAGGTGATTTTTTAAAAAAACCAATCACTGTTTCCTTTTTGCATCTGAATTTGTAGTAGAGAAAAAGGGAGGGGGGGAATTCTGCTGGTTATGAACTTTGGGAGAGTAATTCCATTTGGATATTGTGTGAAGATAAGGAACTGAATGCAAGATTTAGTTAGAGTCACAGCCTGAAGTTTTATTGAAAGTAGTCAGTCAATACAGAGTGGTATCTCAGAAACTATGAGGAGCCCAGTTTAAAGTGTAAATAAGTAAGAATTGTTAAAATTAATAGACTTGGCTATCTCAACCTGTCATCTTTAAGAGTTGCATCTTAAATCAGTAGATGTCTTCTGTTTAAATAGAGGTGATAAAAAACTCATAAAATAGGTTATTGAGTTTACTATACCATTATGACTTTTATTTGGTAAATAAGCAAATAATTTAGCCTGTTGAAAATTAAATGATTAAAATGGTAAAGTAATTATCATGTTATTTATCTGCCATAAAAAAATTGTGTCCTTTTAATTTTTCCAGAATGCTTTTTAAGGAAAGCCGGAGAGTACATAATCATCTTACTTCTGCTCCGTGAGTACATGCAGACTCCAGATTTCTTCATTTATTTTTATTCACATTATGTGCTTTAGTAAAAAAAGTATCATTTATTAAATGCTAGGTGAAATCAGACTTATACATTTGGACAATCTCCATGTTACCACTACCACCTTTAAAAAAAACCAGTCATTTGTACTGTTGACTTTGTAGACCTCAGAACACACTTATCCATTAAACAGTTCTTAGGCTTGTCTCCAAAAACCTGAATCTATAATGTAACATGTGTTGGCCTGGGATCTGAAAGTAAGGAACCGTGTAAACAGGAAGGCCCTGGTGTTTCCTTTGTTCCTAGGCCTTCTTCCCATCAGTTCTTTTGCTGTCCTTTTTCTTCTCCTCTCCATGACCCTCTACATAAGTAACCTATAGTGCTTTCCAAGACAGTGCTGTATCCATACCTACACTTCCTTGCCTTGTAGAGTTTTATTCCACAAAATGAACATACTCTTCATGGCCTTCCTTCTGTTCAAAACTGGTATTTCCTTAGTGATGTGATTACTAAAGAAGGTCTCTTATCATCCTGACAGATAGTAGAAAGGCAAGCTTTTTTCTTTGGTTACATTTTTGGGTGAATACTGGTTAACTGAGTAAGAAATTTTTTTTTTTTTTTTTTTTTACCTACAACTTAGGGCTAATTCTCTGTAGCCTAGAAGTGTACTATTAAGGGGCTAATAAAGTATAAAAATTAGCAAGTCACTCAGCTAAGAGATCTATTTAACATCTGGGTAACAATACAAAATTCCCTGTCTCCTTGTATATACTTATAGTAGATAGAATTTTTTACAGTTCTTAGGAAGGACAGTTTGTTTCTATACCATCAGAGATATATTAAGTTGGTTATGGTTTTCAGTTCTTACTATTCTTGTTTTTTGAGTATAAATTTGGAGTAATTTGGTTTCATATACAGTGGGTGCCAAAAAGAAAGGAAAAAACTATATTAAAATTGTAATACTCAATATATACCGATAACAAAAGATTGACTACAAGTCATGTGTATACATTTTTTTGGCACCCCAGTATTATAGGTTTACTTGTTGCAGATGGTTTAGGGGCTGGGAATACATACATACATATATAATTTTTTTTAATATGTATTTGTATCAATACTGTTTCTGGCCCTTAATTTCCTTGTAGTTCTAAAATCACATATACATTACAATTCAAGTATAAATAATTCATTTCTTTAATTCTAAAGCAGGTGTTTACATAGATCCTCTCCTACAGGGTTTTTGTTTCTTTTTTTTTACAGTTTCATTATTATAACCAATTTTGTGTTTTGTTTTGTAGGAATTTATGGGGTAGGTGGGCCTGGAAGTCTTTTGTCCAAGTAGTCTTTATCAAAACAAAACCAAAAACTTTGACAATTACTGTTGCCTTAATGAGGTGTTGTAGATTGGCAGTTTTAATCAAGATACTTGTTAATTTAGTTAAAGACATTTAACTTAGTGAAATAGAAATATTCAGACAATGTGAGGTATTTTGGCTTGTCAACCCTTTAATTATTCAACGAACATTTGAGTACTTTTTCTTTTTTTTTTTTCTTTCTTTCCCTGTCCCTAACCCTGAGTGCTTTTTCTTACCATGGCATTCACAAGATTCTTTTACCTTCCAGCTATTTCACACTGGTTTCCAAAGGTTCCAAGATTCCATGGTATTTTTCCTTGCCTTTCTGTCATTTTGAGGTTTTTATTTGAATTTTTATATTAAAAATAATTTTCCTTAAAAACTTCAGAAATTTGTTTTGTTGGTTTTTTATTTTTAAAGATTTTTATTGGGGAATTGGGGGATGGGAACAGCTCTAGGGAATTGGGGAAGGGGAACAGACAAGTTGCTGTCCTTTTTGTTCTTCAGTCTAGTTGTGGAGGACGTTGCTTCACTGGCCCAAGTTGGCACCATCACTNGAAAGTGTTTCTGGGCATTGAGCCAAGTCCAGGTGCTTTCTACCCTTTGGTCCTAATTCTGCCTTTGAGTCCATTCACAAATCTAGTCATTTGTCCACTTCATGACCTTTATATTTTTGAAAGCGTTTATCGTGTCCCCTTCTTCACTTCATGTAAAATGGTTTTCAGTACTTTCATTGTCCTGTTACTTTTCCCTTAATGATTTGTTGCCTATTTATTTTAAAAATATTTATAAGTTTAATAGAAAGTAATTGAAAAGAACTTGAATGCAGTTTAACAAAAAAAATAAAAGACTTTTCTATGAATAAAGGTATTTCATGGAATTAAGAGCGAGAATGCAACTGGAAGGATGGGAACTGATTATTTGAATTAACTCTCTTTTTCTCTGCCTCTCTCCCCACATCTCATTTTTATCCTTTTATGCGCATCTGCAGATAAGATTACTTGATTCCCAAGGTCTTATATTACAGAAAAGCCACACACAGACTGACTCCAGTCTCTCATCCCAATCCAAATTCTTGGAACAAAAATCTGATTATACTCTCTTGGATCAACCTAAACTTTCCTGGGAGTCACACAGCACAAAATGGCTCTCCAAGGCCCACCGAGGGGCACATGGGGCAACAAGTGTGGTGTCCTGGGTCACTGTACTAGGTGTGATCTGACAAACAGAAGTCTTTAGTATAGGCACTATACTTCTGTTAATAAAGTCCTTTTTTGGAACTGAAAAACTGTAGTTCTTTCTCAGTTGAAATCAGGTTAATGAGCAAGTGAAATTTATCTGAGATCTCAGATTTTGTGCCTGTGCCTGGCTCCTTCAGACGTTGACAGTTGGCGGTTACTGCCCTAAGTCAAGTGATACAGATGGGTACTGATAAAAAAAGAACTGGAAGTTGGAAAACAGCATTTTGCACATTATAAAATATTTTCTAAGAAACTTTTCAAGATTGATGTTTGAAATTACTTAATATTCCTGTTGGCTATAGAAGAAAGGCATTTATCCTACCCTTGCTTTTCTTTATATGGCTTTATCACATATGTTTGTAAACATAAACATTATATTGTTTGATTTTGCATGTTTTTAAGCTTCATACAAATAGAGTCAAACTGTGTGTTTTCTTCTGCATCTTGCTTTTCTATACTCAACCTTATGCACCTCAGATTTATATGTCTTTACATGTGGTGGGACTCCATTCATTTTTACTGTGTGAACAGTGTTCCATTGTATGACTAGATCTCAATTAATTTATTCATTTTACTGTTGATGGATATTTGGGATGTTCCCAGGTAGATAATCTTAGCTACGTAAGTCTTAAAAAGTGATCTCCCAGGAACCATGATACTGGATGGTCACATTTAAAATGGGATTCTATAGCAGACACTGTCATATTGCAGTACTATTTATTATTAACTGGTATGCATAAAATAGGTAAAGTGCTTATTAGTAATAATATTTGTGTTCTGTTTTTATTAGTAAGATAAATGTTATTAATAAAAGAAAATATTTTAATGTGTAAAATATACCTGCCATGACATGGTAATTGCATTACTAAAAATTCTCTCCTTACCAGAAATCACATTTTAAAAATAGTTGTGTCAGTGAAGAAAAGTAAAGTCTTATAATATTTCTGTACTTATGACAGTAATAAAAGTACGTTTTAGTTACATATGTATTTTGTTACTTACAAGATGAAAATAAGCTAGTTGATTAAACCTTTCAGATACAAATTTACTTCCTTTTCTTTTTGCTCTGAGCTCACATGACTAAGTCTTTCAGTTTCCTATTTTGCTTTGGCCTTGACCTTGCATCTTTGCTTACAATGTAAGTCACAATTACTAATAATAAAGGAGAGAACAGGATGCCAGCATCCTGTTGGTTGTCATCCAAGCCAAATTGTGAGATTGTTCCCCAGCAGCATCTCTTCTTGTGGTGCTGGCTCCCCATCATAGTGGGGGTTAACGGGCAGTGGTCTACACACTGCAGACTTTGTTCTTTATCTAACCATGTGTATTACCGTTGAAGTATCTGTATATTTATCGGCCAAACATGGGGCATTTTGAAGAATGTAAAGGGGCACTATTAATACTTACTCAGGGGCAACAGGCAAAAACTGGGATTCTGTTTGGCTACCTTGGAAATACTATGGTCATCCTAACTTTATATCCAGTGTGCATTATGGAAAGTCAATGTTGTAGAAAACGTGCCCGTATTTAAATATGTTAATATTTCAAATCTATAATCAATATCTAAAACAAATTTCATCTGTTGAGGATCTGCTTGCAAAATAAGTTTTGTAAATAAATATGTTTGAAAAAACTTTGTTGTTTTTTTTTCTCAGGATGATCGTTTAAGAGAACCTCTGCAGAAACTGAAACTGGCTGTTAGCAATGTCATGCCTGAACAGCTATTTAAATACCAGGAGGACTGCCAGGCTCGGAGTCAAGCTAAGTGTGCCAAGTATGTACCTCTTCTATTGGGACTGGCTTTTGCACTTGAGAAATACTTCTAGATGTTAGGGATTGGTCTTAAGTGGACTTAATCACCAAGTAGAAAGCCACATACACCACTGAAATGGTACAATTGAATATTTTCTAAATTACACATCACTTCCTGTTCAATTGCTTTGATGTTAAAGGCAAAAAAGTCTGTTGATTTAGTGTATGGGTTTGATCAAAGCAAGAGCTGACACGGGTCAGACGTTTCACATGTTGACCAACTTGACTGGCTGAGGTTGGACACAAATGTATTCTGAACTAAAAGATAAGTGTTCATGCCTTTATATTATGGTTTGAAGACCTATTTACCAAGTCACTTTATAACACACTTGAAATTCAAAGTAATATGTGGAAAGATAGATTTCCTATTTACCTTGGTTTTTGAGTTAACACCCAACTAAGCAGTTGAAGTTTCTAAGCAGTATATTATAGGCAATGATGAATTAAAACTTTGCTTAATAAAATGTTTTTCATTGTTAGGTTGCAAACAGATGAAGAACGAGAAAAAAATGGATCGGAGGAAGATGATGATGAGAAGCCAGGGAAACGTGTCATAGGACCAAGAAAGAAATTCCACTGGGATGACACCATTAGGTAAGATTTAACCAGAGCCTTCACTTTTAACTACAATAAATAGATAATGCAGAAATAAGGTATCGCATAAAAACAATCTGCTGTAAACAGAAGACTAGATTGGAAGCAACCAAAGATAAATATTTAGGAAAAATTTATTCAAGAGAAGATTGACTTGATCCTAATATTTTTAGAGTGCTATCACTTTTATTTTTCATATAATGCTTTTTATAAGCTAATCTTTTAATTATTAAGTCGTATACTGGTTTCAGAAAGTGAAGTACTCAGTATACTTAGGTTATCTGTCTTACCAGTATTCCTATATCCTAAGTAACGGTGTAGCTAGGAATACCCCTTTCAATCTTTGGTGCCTAGTTTAAAGGTACCAAAGGAAATTGTTTCCTTTGGGGATTTGGCTGTAGTGCAGTGAAGGATGTATGTTAGAAATTATTATCTTCATGTCGTCTTCTGAATTCTTCAAATAATATTCTTTACTATTGCTGTCAGATTTATGTGTTTTTTAATTTTTTNGCTGTTGTTCAGCATCTTAGCTGTAGAGGGCAGTGTCACTGGCCCTCATATGTGGGATCCTAACTAGGGCCCTCTGGCATCCCAAGCCAATTCTTAACCAACGCGCCACTCGGCCGCCCCCCCCCCTTTTTTTAATAACTATTAGGTGAAGTACCCATTTAACAAATTGTTTTCCATATAAAAACCTATTTTATAAGTGGAAACAGGAACTGGAGAATTGGAATAAATTGAACAAAGTATTAAATATCTAGTTTGTCATGCAGGCACAAGAAGGGAAACAAAGATGGATAAAACAGTCCGTGTGCAGCCGGAAGAGTTTGAGCTCTTTTGGAGCTGAAATTTTTTCAAACACTTCTAAGGAAAAAATACTCGAAGAACTCATTGAAACTGCATAACTCAGTAGTATAGCAGTTGCACCAATGATGAGGGAGAGTGAGGAAAGTATGATACCTCTTCAAGAAAATGAGCTTTTGGTTGATAATGGAGTTCTGTGCTTTGCCCAAAAATGTAAATTTTCCCATCATGAAAAAAATTATTTGTCAGCTTGTTTGTAGTTATACAAATTCTCTTAAATGAGACTCATTGGAATTTTCTGTAGCATTACTACTTATTGATTTTTTTTTCCCCCTTGAAAAATACTGTCTAGGAAATCATGGAAATGTAAAATGAGAAAAGAATCACTGTTTTTGCCTCCATGCTTGTATGTTGCTACCTAAAATAAAGTGTATTTATTTGTTGTTGCTTTTGGTCAGCATTGAGTTACAGCTACAGGAACTAGGCCCTGTCATTCGTAGTGGTGTCTACTCCCATCTCGAAGCTTTTGTGCCATGCAATAAAGAAACACTGGTAAAACGTCTAAAGAAGTTACATCTCAACGTCCAGGTAAGGGGGGAATCAAGGTCTACACCAGGGCTTTTGCAACCTGTAAAGAGGCTGGTTTCTATTTGGGGCTTTTGCATATTAATTGCTGTATAGTCATGTTGTATGTATGTATATTAAAGACATGTTGGATCCCCTGAAAAAAAATACTTTTCAATAATTGATAGGTTTAGGTGAAAAGTAATGCTTTGTAAGGCATAGATTCTTGGGCTGGTAAATTAACCTCAGTTCCACAGCTGACAAAATTTACCTTCATCAAATAATCTGACGTATTTAGAGCTCAGTTTTCTTATTCCTGAAATGGATCTATAGAGATCATTATGGACAACAAGGAAAGGATCACAGAATAAATTTAAAGATTATTTAGTGTAATCATCCATGTTTTGCTAGGTTCTCCTTGACTACAACCCAACCAAGTGATTTTCCAAGTTAAATGCTTTCATTGGTTCAGAGGCTTATTTCAGACTGTATCAGAAAGTGTTTCTGGGCATTGAGCCAAGTCCAGGTGCTTTCTACCCTTTGGTCCTAATTCTGCCTTTGAGTCCATTCACAAATCTAGTCATTTGTCCACTTCATGACCTTTATATTTTTGAAAGCGTTTATCGTGTCCCCTTCTTCACTTCATGTAAAATGGTTTTCAGTACTTTCATTGTCCTGTTACTTTTCCCTTAATGATTTGTTGCCTATTTATTTTAAAAATATTTATAAGTTTAATAGAAAGTAATTGAAAAGAACTTGAATGCAGTTTAACAAAAAAAATAAAAGACTTTTCTATGAATAAAGGTATTTCATGGAATTAAGAGCGAGAATGCAACTGGAAGGATGGGAACTGATTATTTGAATTAACTCTCTTTTTCTCTGCCTCTCTCCCCACATCTCATTTTTATCCTTTTATGCGCATCTGCAGATAAGATTACTTGATTCCCAAGGTCTTATATTACAGAAAAGCCACACACAGACTGACTCCAGTCTCTCATCCCAATCCAAATTCTTGGAACAAAAATCTGATTATACTCTCTTGGATCAACCTAAACTTTCCTGGGAGTCACACAGCACAAAATGGCTCTCCAAGGCCCACCGAGGGGCACATGGGGCAACAAGTGTGGTGTCCTGGGTCACTGTACTAGGTGTGATCTGACAAACAGAAGTCTTTAGTATAGGCACTATACTTCTGTTAATAAAGTCCTTTTTTGGAACTGAAAAACTGTAGTTCTTTCTCAGTTGAAATCAGGTTAATGAGCAAGTGAAATTTATCTGAGATCTCAGATTTTGTGCCTGTGCCTGGCTCCTTCAGACGTTGACAGTTGGCGGTTACTGCCCTAAGTCAAGTGATACAGATGGGTACTGATAAAAAAAGAACTGGAAGTTGGAAAACAGCATTTTGCACATTATAAAATATTTTCTAAGAAACTTTTCAAGATTGATGTTTGAAATTACTTAATATTCCTGTTGGCTATAGAAGAAAGGCATTTATCCTACCCTTGCTTTTCTTTATATGGCTTTATCACATATGTTTGTAAACATAAACATTATATTGTTTGATTTTGCATGTTTTTAAGCTTCATACAAATAGAGTCAAACTGTGTGTTTTCTTCTGCATCTTGCTTTTCTATACTCAACCTTATGCACCTCAGATTTATATGTCTTTACATGTGGTGGGACTCCATTCATTTTTACTATGTGAACAGTGTTCCATTGTATGACTAGATCTCAATTAATTTATTCATTTTACTGTTGATGGATATTTGGGATGTTCCCAGGTAGATAATCTTAGCTAC